TGGAGGCCCAGAGAGGAAAGATACGGGCTCAACGCCACAGGGCCGGTAAGTGTCACATTTTGAGCAGTGATCACCCCTACAGAAGGTGGGCGGTATCGTTCCCCTTTGCTCTGAGTCAAACTGGTCAGTTTAACTGATGCACCTCGAGAATTTTTACAACGCGCAATACCTGACTGTTTAGTCGGGGGCACTCACCTGTTCCACCCTAGATTGTCAAATAAAAGAGGGGCAACAGCCAGCACAACACTAGCCATCCGGTGGGAACGAATCAAAGTCAAAGCAATTTTTTATCAGATTGGCAAAATATATAATATGGTTTTGGGTGCGCTGCAGAGTTTTAGTAATCAGTTTCCGTGCCATGGTGAGAAAGGTTGAAAATTACTGCTTGAAGTCATTTGAGTTTGGCGGTGCCAACCGAAGCCAGGCCAGGCACAGCAGCAGTTCTGACCTGGAGGGACAGGGCCCAGCTTTCCCGAGTGCTCCTGGAGCAGGGTGCACGGCTGCCGCCTAGGGGTGCTTGGTGTGAAGCTGGGTGCACCTGGCACCTGGGAGGTGTTCGATGGGTGCTTGAGAGGCTTGATTCTTCAGATCTAGTCTGTAATCCTCAGGAATCTTCAAGAGTCCTGAGTTAGTTTCCAAAAAGAAAAGACATCTTCTCTAGTCAACCCACATGACCTTTTTCCAAATGACTGTTGTGTTATTTTTCTCGTTTCATGGAGAATCGAATCTTGGTATGTGAGATCAAATAGATCATTTTTATTTCTGTAAAATTATATCATCTGAACAGGGCTAAATTGTTAGGAAAACTTATTGGAACGTCTGAGAATGCTGTAAATGCCAAAGGGATCTTGGATATTACGTGGGTCAGCCCTGTATCAGGATTTCCAAGCTCGCGGTTCGCCCCAGGAGCTGTGGCTGGAGATGCGATGTGTGGGGAGATCCTGCTGAAAGTGCAGTTCCTCTGTGTGATTTCTCTCTTTCCTGATGCTGACAAGCAGCCTTTGCTTATCAAAGCCAGTTGCCGGGAGGTGAGCACGAGTTAACTTTAAAAACAACATTCAGCAGGGCACGCTTTCTACAGATGCTGTGTGTGACACATTATAGTATGAGACTGTTTAGGAGAAGTGGGAAAATCTAGAAGATTGTTTCCCCAGCCAAGGAGCCAAACAGAGAAGGTAGAGAAGTCTCTGAAAAAGAAAAGCTCCAAGTCTCCAGCAAATGTGGTTTGGGAAATTACTTACCCATGCCTGTTAAAGGGTAAGTAATTAAAAGGTGCTAATCTGAAGTTTGTGTATCTGTAATTAAAATAGCCATGGCTACCATGATTGTTTAGAATTTAGACCAACCAAAGTGTCTTTTTGGGGAGGAGAATTTTGTCATTGACCTTGTTAGTGGGACTTGGTGAAAATAAACAGATAATTTGAAAAAAAACAACTTTTAAACTAAATTTTCTGCAGACCTTTTTCTGCAGACAGTCCCTCCTCTCTGGGATGCCTTGACCACTGCCCAGGACCTCTGGTGCTCCCTGCCTACCTGGGCCACCTTTGGAACTTGCCCTTTACACACCAGAACTGCTGCTGAGAGCACTGTGGCCAGCCAGTGTCCCCCATGCCTGGCCCTCTCCATCAGGGGCTGTCCTCTCATCCCTCACCCACCTGTCTAATACAAAGCCCATTGAGCACCAAACCCATGTCCCGTCACCCTCCATGTGCAGAACACTGAGTCTGGTGCACAGCGGGGTCTCATACACATCTACTGAGTGAATGAACAAGTTGGGGACAGTGACCGGTACACATTGGACACCTGCTGTGTGTTCTAGGACAAGTGTATGGTGTTTTGTGTACCCTCCTTCGCTGAAATTTTTAGTTCCAAATATAAAGAAAATGAGAAGTCATACATCTGAATGGTCCATAAACCAATCATTCTGCTCCAGAATAATTGAGATTTTTAACTATCCCCGTATTAGCAGCCAGAATGGCCCATTCCAGCATAGTGTGAAGTACATTTTTAAGACAATTTTCAAAAAGATCAGAGACTTCAGAATGAAAGTGGATGTGGGGCTATGGCTCCAGGCACATACCGCACTGTTAGACTTGTGATTATTCTAGAATCCTTACAATGGCTTGCACCAAAAGAAGAAAAAGATCTGGCCGTCAGAGTGGCTGACAAGCTGTAACAAGCAGCAGGCTCGTTGAATCCTGTAGGATCTCAACAGTTGACTGAGGAAGCTGGCTGTGGGCTGCAGACAGGAGCCTGAACCAGAAGAGAGGTTCTGGGCTATGAGTCCACGCCAGCTGCATTGCCACTCAAGGTAACATAGTCAGATTGACTTTAGAGAATGTTAAGAAGTCACCTGCCTATAAATAAACCTTTAGAAATGCAGCTCCTCCCAGGCAGAGATCAACATCGCCATTCACTAAGCCTAAATGTATACCTAGCTACGCTGGCCGGAGTCTGAGGACACCAGCCTTCCCAGGTCCCCTTGAACCTGGCTACCTCACTAGGCCTGGGAGCAAATTCAGAATTGTGAGGTGGCAAGTCACCCTGTGAGGATTCTGGGAGACTCTCAGCCTCTAGAGTCAGCCCTCTCAGGTTGCTCTCCAGCCCAGCCCCTGTTTCCTTATCTCCAGTAGACACAGCCTTCAAGACCCCAGAACGTGGTGGCACAAGCAGGAATCCATGAAGTCCTCCTGGGTGCCTCCCATGGCCCCCTGCCACTCCATGCAGCACCAAGAATGGCCTGGTCAGGCCCCCCATCATCTCCTGAATCTGCTGTCCTTCACCCAGGGGCCTAGCTCAGTCCAAGCCCCAATCCTCTATGCCCGGGAAACTAGTCAGTTGCTGAGTGGTCCTCATGCTGCTCAGGGTCCGTCAGCCCGCACCCCACTCCATAGCAGGGGGCATTCTTCCTCATGCCCATCTCAGCATCTCAGCATGTCAGCTCCTCAGTGTTTCCCCGCGGATCTAAGCAGCCCTAACTCTCCACTGCTTGGACTCACAGGGCTCCACCTTCCCAGACCTTCGTTTTTACTCCAAAGGATGTGGTCTCACTGCCCTTCCTTTACTCCCTGTGAAGGTCACGACCCACCCACTGCAGGGCCTTGGTATGTGCTGTCCCCTCCCCTCTTGGATGCTCCTCCCTTAGCTTCCGGCTTCATTGTCATTCTTCCCCTGCTGAGCTGGCCCACTGCCCACCAGGTCAAGACACCTCCTGACTCCCTGTGGTACCTGTTACAGTTGCAACTGCTCAATGTGTTCAAATCTGTCCACTCAGACTTTAAAAGGGTCATGAAGGCAGGATTTCCTTCCCAGAATCTCAGTGCTGAGCCCAGCACATAGTAGGGGCTTCATTAACTTTGGGTGGATGGATGGATGGACAGACAGATGGACGGACGGATGGATGGATGGATGGATGGATTGATATAGGTGGGCAGATGGATAGATAGGTAGATGGATATATGATGGATGGATCTCCATAGGCCCCGAGAGCACAGGGAAGATCCCGTGGGTTCAGAGAGAGGGCCCCTGGACTATCCCAAATTCCTTATTAAAATAAATAGGATCTCCAGCTGAAATCTGAGATGGGCACCCTGTTTATGCCTCGGGGAAGCTGAAGGCCAGTGAGTTCCTAAACCCCATTAGACCCTAACTCAAATCTCTGTAGGGGGCTGATATGGCTACACCCACAGCCCCTGGCCGTCCCTCGATCCTCCACCTGTGTCCCCTCTGGTGTACTGGGCCCTCACAGTCGTCCCAGAGCACCAAGGAGCTGCTGCCACCAGTGAGGAGGGAAGCTGGAGGAGACCTGTTCCAACCCCAGCTGGGAAGCCTGCCACATGGCCACTTAGTCTTTCAGAGCATCCCAGGGAACAGAGGTCCAGGAACCCCAGTGTCACCTGCTCTTTCAGTCCCTCTGCATTGGCTCTTCCTTTTCCTGTCTCACTTCTCCTCCCAAATAAACCAATTGCCCCAAATCCTTATCTCAGGATCTACTTCTGGGGAACCCTAATCAAAGACAGCCCCAATAAGCAAAATGGATCTGTGACACCGGAGAAACCCCTTGTAGTCTAGGGCCTGGTGAGCTGCTGCGCGGGAGGTGGTCAGCAAAGACTCCTGGCTCGTTTTCGGAACAACAGAAGCTTGACGGAGGCAGCAGGAGTCAGGCCCGGATCCTGCCTCTAGGCCCAGGGCTCCAGACCCTTCCTGGGAACCCTGAGCTGCGGAGGCAGGAGTCAAGCCCAGTGCCAGGAGGCCAGAAACATTTTCATTTTTTTCTTTCTGACACTTTCTGTGCACCGCCTCCTCCCAACACAATATTTGCATTGCGAAACCCCGAAAACTGCTAAGTTTCACCCAATTTGGTTTCATGTTCTCGAGGAGCTTGGCACTGTATTAGACACTCAGGCTTTCCCACGGCCCAGTTCCTATTTAAAAACTGCCTCTCTATTTAAAGTTCAGAATGAAGGGACTCCCGAGGCCGAAGGGAACATGAGATAGGAGAAAGAAAAAATCCGCTTTGCTTCTAAAAAAGGCTGAAAATTATAACCATCGCTGGCCTTGTGTCTCAAGTCTGAGGATTTTTTTTCCCCTTTCTGGTTATTTGCAAACCAAAGTGGAATTTTATTATGGGTTACTCAGTGAGCTTCTCCAGTTCCTGGCCCCCGAAAGTCTCTGCTCACACTGTAGCATGTCATTTAAGCTCCCCGTACAGATGGGAGAGAATGGAACCCAAATAAAGCAGCGGGGGTCCCCGAGCTGTCTTCCCGCCATGTGGCCACATTTTCCCAGAGCTTTGCCAGGGACTCAGCAAAGCTGCCTGGCTCCTTTTATGAACAACAAAGCCACGATGAAGGCAACAGGAGTCAGAAAACTATTCACTGCAGGAAGTTCCAGTATCCGGTGAGAAATAAGAAATACAACAGCACCGGACGCGCCTTGGGTCAGGGGGACGTGAAAAGCCCGCAGCCTTTGTGTCCTTCTCGGCACCGGAGTGTCAGTGTCGGAGCCCTCAGCTCCCCTCTGAGCTCGCCGGGGCGGGCGCTGTCTCTGTCAGGCTCCCAGCCTCCTGCTGAGGGCGACAGGGAGGCCGCGATGGCCACCTCCACCCGCCTGCTGCTGCTGCTGCTGCTGCTGCTGCTCCCCAGCCAGCCCGGGGCCAGGGCTGGTGCCGAGGGGCAGGCCGTGGTGTGCGCGGGGACCGCCTGCTACTCGGCCCACCAGGACAGGCTCAGTTTCGAGGAGGCCCAGCTTCACTGCAGCAGGAACGGGGGCAACCTGGCCACGGTGAGGACCGAGGAGGAGGCCAGGCACGTCCAGCGGTTACTGGCCCAGCTCCTACAGTCCAGGGTGCCCCTGGCAACCCGGTCAGGCAAGTTCTGGATAGGACTCGAGCGAGAAAAGGGCAAGTGCATACAGCCCAGCCTGCCGCTGAAGGGCTTCAGCTGGGTGGGTGGCGGGGAAGACACGCTTTACTCCAACTGGCACAAGGAGGCCAAGAGCACTTGCATCTCCAGGCGCTGCGTGTCCCTGCTGCTGGACCCGTCCCTCCCTTCCCTCTCCAGCTACCTCGCCAAGTGGTCTGAGGGCCCCTGTGGGAGCCCGGGCTCCCCTGGGAACAGCATCGAGGGCTTTGTGTGCAAGTTCAGCTTCAAAGGCATGTGCCGGCCCCTGTCCCTGGGGGGCCCAGGCCAGGTGAACTACATCACTCCTTTCCATGCCACCAGCTCCTCCCTGGAAGCTGTGCCCTACGCCTCCTTGGCCAATGTGGCCTGTGACGATGGGGACAAGAGGAAGCAGGACTTCTTGTGCAGAGAAAAGGCCGCCGATGTGTTCGACTGGGGCATCACAGGGCCCCTCTGCGTCAGCCCTGAGTACGGATGCAGCTTCAATAACGGGGGCTGCCAGCAGGACTGCTTCGAGGGGGGAGATGGCTCCTTCCGCTGCGGCTGCCGCCCGGGGTTCCGGCTGCTGGATGACCTGGTGACCTGTGCCTCCCGGGACCCTTGCAGCTCCAGCCCGTGCAGGGGGATGGCCACGTGCATTCCCGGGCCCCTGGGGAAAAACTACACGTGCCACTGTCCCCAGGGCTTCCAGCTGGACTCGACTCAGCGGGACTGCATAGACGTGGACGAGTGCCAGGACTCCCCCTGTGCCCAGGAGTGTGTCAACACCCCCGGGGGCTTCCACTGCCAGTGCTGGGTGGGCTACGAGCCTGGCAGCCCTGGAGAGGGGGCCTGTCAGGATGTGGACGAGTGTGCCCCCGGCCGCTCGCCCTGCGCCCAGGGCTGCGCCAACACAGAAGGCTCCTTCCACTGCTCCTGCGAGGACGGCTACGCCGTGGCCGGGAAGGACGGCACCCAGTGCGAGGATGTGGACGAGTGTGCGGGCCCTGAGGGTAGCCCCTGTGACAGCTTGTGCTTCAACATGCCAGGGTCCTTCCGCTGCGGCTGCTTGCCAGGCAGGGAGCTGGCCCCGAACGGGGTCTCCTGTACCATGGGCCCCATGTCCAGGACACCAGTTGCTGAGAGTCCCCAGGGGGAGAACACAGGAGACCGAGAGGGGAGCCTGGTGCCTTCTGCCACAACCTCAAGTCCGACTGGAGGCCCTGAGGGCACCTCCCAGGTGGCACCCACCAAGAGGAGACTCTTCCTTCCATCCAATGCCTCTACCACCCCTACGCCACCCCAGGCTCTGGCCAGCAGCGGGTCCCCTGGAATCTGGATGAAGCCTGGCACCCATCACCCCACGGCCACCACGGGCCATGAGGAGTCTACGGGCGGGGATTTCGTGGTCCAACAAAGGAATGAGGGCACCGACGGGCAAAAGCTACTCCTGTTCTACATCCTGGGCACCGTGGTGGCTATCTTGCTCTTGCTGGCTCTGGCCCTGGGGCTGCTGGTCTACCGCAAGCGGCGAGCCAAGAGGGAGAAGAAAAAGCCCCAGCGTGCAGCAGACAGCTACTCCTGGGCTCCGGAGAGGGCTGAAAGCAGGGCCGTGGACAACCAGTACAGGTAAAGACGCGGAGGCTGCGGGGGCAGGAGGGGCAGCTGCGGGGGGGTGGGCGACAGCCCCGCACACGCAGGCGGAGGGCGGGGCGGGCACGGCCCCTGCTGGACGGCAGGCCCAGCCCAGCTGCCCAGCTTGCGGTTGGGTGCCCACGGGCCTCCCCCAGGGCATAGCCATGCGAGGCTGGGCACAGCAGCTTCCAATGCTGTCATCTTCTGTTTCCCGTAGTCCAACACCTGGGACAGACTGCTGAAGGTGAGGTGGCCCCAGAGACACTGTCAGTCAGCCGCCGCCATCCTCAGAGCTCACATCCTCTGTCAGAAGGCGGGACCCACATCCTCCTGAAAGGCCGGACTGGAATCTTAGCAAACGGTTGTAAACTTTCTCCTTAAAAGCCTGGCAACTGGGAATGCGCAGGTGTATCCTAAACACGTGTGACATTCCCAAGTGGAAGCGACGGGCTGTGGCGTCATTGTGGGAATTTTGTGAATATTAACTATTGTCACTCGTTCCCCCTTGTCCAATTCAAATATGACCGATTTCACCTTTCTGCACTGATGCTGGGTTCGGAGTCAGGTGCTCATGGGCTTCCTCTGAACGGCTTCTCTGCTCCCTGGAGTCAACTAAGAAGAAAAGGGGTGTGATTGTGCTAATTTGTATAATGGAGACTAAGTCGATTATTATTTAATTACATAAGAAGTTTTGTTTTGATTTTTGCCAGAGGGAACATATTTAGGACTGAGTGTCTTTGCATGTACATCCGCGCACTTTCCCATCGCAAGTCCTGCCGACCTTCGTGTTGTCAAAATCCTCCACCGTGACCAGAAATCCACCTACGGTCTCGTTAGCAAGGAGGGGGGCGTTTAGAACTCGCATGTCTCTGTCTTAAGTTTCTGATAGTCTTGGGTTTATTTGCTAGTGAAACCTGAGAAATGTGGCAGAAGTTGTACGAAGTGAGTTAAAATGGTTTTGAAAAGAAATAATCCAAAGTGCTGGAGAGGCCAGGGGTTTGCTCCACAAGCACTTGGATCTAAATTCATCTAAATGTTCTGATGTCAGCGCAGACTCAACTGTTGATGAGTCGAACACCAGTAAGGAAAACGCCAAGGACTACTTGTCTCTAAGCCTGCCCGTCCCCAAGACACCCACCCGCCCTGTCCCGGCTCCCTGCCTTCACCTGGGGCAGCTCTGGGTTTCCGTGCTCTGACCACACGTAGGCGGAGGAATTGCGGGGAGTCTCCCCCTGATTGCTCCTAAAGCACGTGGGGGCGAGAGGACTCCCTGAGCTCAGAGCCGTCGGCCTAAAGCCCTTAGCACAGTTCACAGCCCTCAGTCCGCGCTGCATCCTGACAACTTGATTCTGACTCGTGGCTGTAGCTCTCAGAAAAGCCAGAGACCAGTCACGCACGGTGACTGTCCCAGTGCCGCTTTGGGAACTTGTGTCTTCTTTCTCTCTTTTCCTTGAAAAGGGGGGGCAGGCGGGAGGGAGGGAAGAGAGAAAGAGAGAGCAACTAAGATCTTTGGCAACTACAAGCACTACTCAAAGCAACTTGAATCGATGCCCTCACTTTTAAGGGCTCACTTGCAGAGGTGTCCCCTTATGAGGTGGTCAGTGATGGGCGGTTCTGCCTGTGTAGGCAGGAAGCAGCTGGAATGGTCCAAACTGCCTGAGGAGCCAGCCCGAGAGGCCTGCAGGGGCCTGGGGACTTTCCGCTGCCGCCTTGCAGAAGTACAGAGGGAATGTGTTTCCTTCCAGATTCTAAACTCTGCCTCTCAGATGGAGGACACCCTGTTGTTTCTGGTTTTGCCTTAGAAATGCAGCTGTCCCAGAGTTTACCATGCTGAGCGGGAGTAGTGTCAGGTGCACGGCTGCCTTCAGAGTCAAGGAAGTTTGTTTTGTTTTGTTTTTGCCAATTTTGAAATGCAGATGCTACCGTTTACTATTTTTTAAAGACAATGAAAACTGCAGGGTGTGTGACAGAGAGAATGAAGGCTCTGGGAGGCCTCGCAGGGGCTTGGAAGTCCTGCTTTTTAAAGTCGGTTTTCACCTGGAACGAGTGGTGTTTAACACTCAAGGAGACAAAAGCTGTGCCCGCTGACCACAGGACCCTTGGTGGCCTCTTGTATGGGAACCAGCTGTTTTGCCATTCAGATGATTTCAAAGACTTGGCCAGATGTGTTGCTGACCAGTATGTGCACTTACATGAAATAAATGCAAATTCAACAGCTTTCCCCCTAGGTTTTTACAGTTTTTCTTTTTGTTTGGGGTGAAGGAGAAGTTCCTACTTTGGGCTCTGCCCTGTCATTGCACAGCGTTCGATGCTCCTACAGGCCCCACGAGGGGCTACATGGGTTGGTGAAGAGCAGTTTCTCAGGATCTGCTCTGGCAGAGTTGGCCCCCCGAAGGCCAGTGAGGTCTCCTGCTCTCACGCCACTGTCCACCATCCTTAACCTGGATGACCTCAGGCGGAGAATCTGATGAAACTACTGGCCTCAAACAGACGCCTTGTTCCCCCATTACCCCGCTGTAATTCCGTCTGAGGTATTCAGTCGAATGCTTGTGCATAAACCAGTGTCTGTGGGCTGTGTGGCCATTGGCTAACTTCCAACTTATTCACAGGGGCCCCAGGTGGCTCCATCGTGACCCAAGCAGAGAGATGGACAGGACTGAGCATGGGGAGAGGTGGCTCTGCCATGTGCAGACCCGTCCAGCAGTGGCTCTGGGCAGGGACAGACCAGGTGCTGTTCTGTTTCTGACCTGCTGAGCCGCAGAACAGGTGAGACAATGGGGAGAGGGAGAAGGGTCTACTTGGCAGCAGGCTCAAAGGCGATGGAGACTTTTGTCCAAATAGTATTTCCCATAGTTCAGTCATTCTAGGAAACTCTTAGAACACCTGTATTTGGGATGAACACACTTCCCCTACCCTTCACCTCCCAGGGCAGATCATTTAAAGGGGGGAGGACACCTTTAAACATGCAGCTCACCAAGCCCATTTCTTACTTTTAGGGACAATCATTGCTCTTTTTCCTTCTTTGCTATTCATAGAAGCCTGATGCAGGACAAGTCCCCCTAAAGCATCTGAGACCTAGAGAAAACCAAGGGGGGGGGGGCAACTATCCAGAGATGCCTAAGGAGTGGTGGACTTGGCGAGGATCCTCTCTAGGATGACCTGCCCCTGCTCAGCAGTGTGGCCTCGAGGCACAAGCAGCTGTTGAGGCAGCTCGGTCATCTTAGTGCCGACAATGTGATGCCACCCAGCCACATGGCATCTTCCCAGCACCATTAAGTGGGTGGATTAAGTGGTTTCTGAGTTGAGGACAGGAGGACTCTGGAGTGCAGTCACTGTCAGGCTTGGCAAGGCCATCTCTAGCCCTAAGTGTTATTCAGTGGTAGCCTGGCAACCCTTGGCAAAGGCTCCTCCTCACATCGCTCCATGATCCGGCGAACAGGCGGGATAAAAGGTTGAACATGTAATATGTGCCCATGTACATCATGAAGGAAGAACTGGGTAGAGACGGAACCTCTTTTCTCTTAAACACACGAGTGGGCGTTGCTGTCTCTTTTACATTCTAATCAAGGGCACTGGTCCAGCGTGTTGTGATGGGACCCGGACTCTTAGCACGGAGTGACCTTTGAAGAAAATGGATTTCATCATTAGTTTCTTTTATTCCAACTTTCTTTTCCATAACTATTTTTGTGAAAACTAAGAAAAGAGAGATGAGATCTGACAAAAGTACTAACTTTAAACGAATGCAGTTTTTTTAAAGCCTTTTTGTGTTATTTCTCCCCCAAATCTCTCCATTGTCTAGAACAGGAAAACAGGAAAGCATTGCTTTCTAGCAGCTGCAAATCCTGTAATGGCTAATGGCTCTACATATTTCCATCACCCTAAACAATAGGGTCAGTGTGGGAATCTGAGATACGAGCCCTGTGAACAGCTGTTCCTATCTGGCTGCGAAACCCACAGCTTCAATCTGTGTGGTTTGTGGAGTCAACCAAAAAAAAAAAAGAAAAGACAAAATGCTCAAAGTTCCCCCCTTACCCAACAATCAAGTACTTATTCCATCCCAGATTTCAGGAACTAATTACTAACTGAAGTGCTGTTTTAAAAAAATGACTTGTGTTTTGGTCTGTTCTTAAAGTGAATGCCCATGTATTTTAGGAAGCAACTCTAGAATTCCTTTCTCGAATAGCTCCTTCTACCTGCAATGTGGCAAGTGCTTTCTTCCCGCAGGTTTTGCCCTCTGCTCCCCTGGGCTGAAGCTCTTTTTGCATATTTGGCTTAAGCTTGAACTAGGTTGCATGCAAGGCCTTGTTCTGCTGTATTAGGTGTGATTATAAATGTCTAATCACTTCATGAATGCTGAACGGGAATGTAAGTATTTTTAAATGTGTATTTAAAACTTGTTCCACGAATTCTGGAATCATGGGATTTCGAGGTGGGGTTTATTTTCATCTCAGGCACCAGTGCTTTGCGGGTTGGGGGGAGGGCACGCTTGAGCACGGCACTGGTCCTTAGAACTCCGAGAACCTTCCAGAACCTTCGTGGCATCTTGGCTCAGCCTCAAGAAGTGGCAGGCTTGCGGTCTTGTGCACTTTGTATTACACATCCAATCTAATAAACTCTGAAATGCATTTGTTGTCTACTTGTTTCAGTATACTTTAGAACGACTCAAAATCCACGGCAGACTCAGCATCACGATCACTACATAGATCCATTTTCCTTTTCAAGGACTTGCTGAAAGGAAGGAACGTGACTGCCCCGTTTCCATGTCTTCACCCCCTGGAAGCAGCTGCAGCCCAGAGCATGAGGTGGGTGCAAGGCAGTGCCCTCCTGCCTGCACTGTCCCTCGGCACTCTGCCTTCGGGAACAGGGACATACAGAGGGCCTGGGCTGCAGTGTGACCAGTGGCCCAGCTCCTGAGACCCAGGCCTGATTGAGGGCTTTCAAATTTTGCCTTTGGAACCAGAGTCCACTCTTCTGTGCCCCCATCTTCACCATTGAATTCCCTGCATCTTTTTTATTGCGTTGGTGACACCTGGTGCAGGGTTAAGCATGTCCAGTTGGAGTGATGCAAAGACTCCCTGCTCTAATTATCATAGGAGCATCACTACCTTGTCGGCCAAGCATTTCCAGTTTATTTAGCTAATTGGACAGGCTGGCCGGATCGTTTGTTGTTTGGCTGCATAAATCTCTCTGTGAGTGGAAGTTGGGGCAGCAGACGGTGGTCAGTTCCGAATCCAGCTGCTTTTCAGACTGTGTTTAGCAAGAACAGGACTTAGGTAGGATCAAGTGTCTGCTGTTATGCTAATGGACAGGACACTTGCTATAAATGTCCATTACTCAGGGTTAATTCAAGCTGATCCTTTTAGCAAGAAGTCTAGTCACTAACAAAATACATTTAGAAAGTATATCTTAATATGAACAACTGTGGCTGGCCCTCAACACACACACGCACACACATGTACACACACACTGATATGCCCCACAAACATACAACACAAACTCTCACAGAAAAGCCCACAAACACACAAACATATACATAAACACACAGACACTCAGCCATACACACACACACGTGCACATTTTAACAGTCTGCTGTTTCACACTGAAAAACCCGAAGCCAGTGTTTCCTGTCTTAGGAGAATCCCGTGAACAAAAATACCAAATTTTAAAGGTGACTCCTCTTGGTGACTTTTGCTATCTGCTAGCTAAAATGAGTTCAATGCTAGGTAAATCTGTCAAATATGACTCATTTGCCAAAAAAAAAAAAAGTAATCTCTACAGACATATCTATTGCACAATACAAAGTACATTTTTAAGAAACAATAGCTGGGTAAAAGGCAAGGATAACATATATATTATGTACATTCCATGGCTAGGGGTGGAACCTGTAACCCAGGTATGTGCCCTTGACTGGGAATCAAACCTGCTACCCTTTGGTGCGTGGGCCGATGCTCTAACCACTGAGCGACACTGGCCAGGGCCCCCCAAAAAGTCTTTGTCTTTTAATGGGAGAAGTTAACCTATTTACATTACTAATGTAATGTAATCACATTTTGAGATTACTGACCACTGTGCGGTGGCAGATTCTGTCTATTCTGTTTGTAACATGCTCTTGGTGTTTCTGTCCTTTCTTTCTTCCCTGCTTCTGGTTTCACGGAGGTTTCTTTGTTTTATTTCTTCCCCTCTAATGTTTTGAAACTTTATAAGGACTATGTGTGCTCTTCAAACGCTTACCTTAATTGTTACCTCCCTCATATAAACCTATGCTGTCCTCTGATTGTCTATCACCTATTTAGATGCCACGACTTCTACATGATTCTCTCGGTCACCTGGGATCCAGGGATCCCCATTTTCATAGGAGCGGAGCTAACACTGAGTGTGTTTTTGGTTCGGTTGGTTTTGCCTTTTTCTGAGAGGTCAGGGGAGGGAGGTTTTCCTCGCCTCCTTCCCCACCCACACGGTGGCTCACCGGAGCACAGCCACTGTCCCTGGGAAGGCCGCAGACGCCGGCCGCTTCCTCGCAGCCTGGCTCAGTCCAAGGCCTCGCTTCCTCTCCTGGAGATTCCTCTCCTTCCTCTCCCTCCCCTGGCGCTTTCCTTATTTGCGGGTTCCCTTTGTTCCAGGTTGTGCCTCAGAGACACGGGTGTGGCTCTTTCACTTTCCGTCTAAGGAGGGAGCTGGGTTCCAGTGGCTTCCCAACACTTGTTGGGGTCCCCTGGAGCTCCCCCAGGCTTGTTGACACGCAGACAGCTGGGGCTCAGCCCAGGACTTCTGAGAAGGCAGGGCAGGGATGGAGCCCGAGGATTCACACCCCTGACAGGTTTCTGGGTCCAGCTGCTGCTGGGCAGGGACTCCGTTTGGAGAGCCTGTTTTATTCAGTTTGGGGTCATTTTCTTCTCTTATTATTGTGAGCGTGCCCCCATCCAATCTCTTTACGCTTCTTCTGGAAACAAGTTTTCGATGGTTCTATGCCCCATGCCTCCCCTCTTTCCTTTGACATGTCCCGTCTTTCTTTCCTCTCACAGTGGGTTATTTAGTGCGTGTACACTCTTCCAGAGCAGCAGTTTTTGTCTCTTGGTCAAGGCATCTAGACAGGGGCTGGGCACAACGGGGTGCTCAATGAACACCCCTTTCTTCCTCCAAAGCCGTGGTGTGATGTCCCCAAGAGGAAGCTGGGTCCCTGAAAAGGGACTTCTTTCTCAGGAGTTCCCTAATGCCCTCCCGTGAAGGCCCAGTGGCTACACGTCAAGTCTTCCGAAGAGGCTCTGAGGCACTTGAGGGCAGAGATGTACCTTTACTGTGCCTCACACAGTGCTTTACATAGTTGAGTTCAAATGTTTTTTAAAAAATATGTTCTTATTGATTTCAGAGAGAGGAGGGGGAAGTGAGAGAGAGAAACATCAATGATGAGAGAGTCATTCACCAGCTGTCTCCTGCACGCCCCCGACTGGGGAATCAAACCATGACCTCCTGGTTCATGCGTCAACGCTCTACCACTGAGCCATGCCAGCCGAGCATCAAATGTTTTTTGAACTGAAGACCAACTGGATATATTATTTCATACTAAAGCAATGTAGAGGAAAAATTCATTGCAATTTTACTACCTACCAGATGTGAGAGTAGCGTTTATTTTTTGAGAAACAGACAGCACGGTCATCCCCACTTTATAGATAAGGAAGCTGAGGCACAGAGAAGTTAGAAAACTTGCCCAAGGTCACACAGCTCCCGGGTGAAGGAGCAGGGGTGTGAAATCTCCCAGTCCCGCTCTCAGCCATGAGAGGTCTCATTACCTCCTATTAAATGGGAATGGGAACTGGACCTGCAATTTAAAAAGTACCAGCCAGTGACAAGCTGGCCTTCCAACCCATTCACAATAGGAAAGGTGGAGCACTAAGCAATTATGGGTTATTCTTAATATCTTATGTTCAATTGAACATACTTACACTTGTGAACTACACACACACACACACACACACACACACACACACACACTCACGGGCCAAAACTACTCAGAAGCTCTGCCCTCCCCTGAGAGACTGTGCAACCTGAGACCCAAGACCTGAGGGCAGGTCCCATGCGGGTACCCTCATTGACCCCCATAGTGGCCGTCTCCATTCTGTCTTGTCTCAATGACGGCCGGGCCGTGTGCAGCGGGAGGGGAGGAGGGAGTGCAGTGGGCACGGGTCACCTGCTCTGCCAGCAAAGTGGCTCCTCAGCTGGGACTCTCCTAGACGCTGATGGAAATGTAAACAGTGCAACCTCTTCAAAAGCAGCTGCCTAATTTCTTAAAGACTTAAACATGCACATATGACCCAGTGATTCCACTCTGAGATACTGACTCAGGGGAAAAGAATCTATTGCCCACACAAAGTCTTGGCCACAGATATTCACAGGAGCTTTATTTATACAGCCTCAGCCTGGAGACAACCAGCAGGTACATGGATAAAGACTGTGGTTTACAGTGGGTTACTCCGCATCAGAAATAAAAATAAAAAGAAACAGAAACAGACTTCTGATCAACACAATGACATGGGTGAATTTCAAAAGCATTATGGTGAACAGAGTAAGCCCGACACATAAGAGTAAACCCTGAAGCCAGGCAGAGAAAGACAATTATCACAGATCTCACTCATATGTGGAATCTAATGAACAAAATAAACCGATGAACACAATAGGTCCAGAGGCATAGAAGCATGGAATAGACTGAGGGATCTCAGAGAAGACGGGGTGGGGGTGTGATGGGGTAAGAAGAGATTAACCAAAGAACTTATATGCGTATGTGCATAACCCATGGACACAGACAATAGCGGGGTGAAGGCCTGGGGGTGGGGCAGGGGCTGGGTGGAGGAAGGTCAAGGTGGGGAAATGGGGGACATCTGTAATACTGTCAACAATAATATATATATATACCCCCTGTATGATTCCATCCCTATGAAATTCTAGGGTCGGTAACAGTAATCATTAGTGATAGAAAGTAGATCGATCAGTGGTTATGGGAGAGTGGGAGTGAGAACTGACCACAGAGGACCCTGAAGGACCTGCATGGATGGAAGTATTGTGTCTTGATTGGGTGGTGGTCACATGTGGATGCTTGTGTTTGTCAAAACTCATCAAACCATACATGTAAAATGGGCACATTTTATTGTATGTAAATTATATCTCAATAAAGTTGATTTAAAACTTCAGCTTATCGGTGTTGTAAATAAAATAAATATTTACAAGTTGTGGTCTGTATTTTTGTAAAACAATAAAACATGATTGCTTTGGACTTCATGTTTTTCAGCGGTAATAAAAAGCGAATGGCACTGTTGCAGGCTGGAGCTAGCCTTCTACTATCAGAATTTTCTCCGTTGCTGGTTGTGTGTCTAAATCCTCTGCTAAGCTTCAACGAGTGGGGGACACCCCTTTCCATGACCAATCTTCTCTCTACCTCCCTCCAAGCCAGCACCGGAATCCATTCCCTTCATCTTACTGGCCTCCATCAAAACATTCAAATACATCACGAGGAAAAGCCCTCTCCGCCTGCCCCAAGCTTGCTTTCCTCCCCATGCTGAGCACTAACTTTCTAAGTTTACAGTGCTGGGTCTTTCTTTCACCCTCCCTTCCTCAGATCATCTAACTACATTTC